CCTTCCCAGCTCCAGAGAATCACACACTGGCACAGTCAAGATAAGGGTGAGCAAACTGCTGAGCTGGTCTGCAGAGCAAGGACTTGACCTGCAGTCTGAGGGAGCCTGGGGTCTGACAGGCTGGAGGATTAACCTGCTTATCTGCTTTTCTGGCTTTCAGTTAGGATTTAGTTAAGAACTTCCTGCATCTGCATCAGCAAGAAGAAATAGCTGTTCCTGAGATTCAGAAAGGTCAGCAATAGGCCAAAGATATTTAAGCACACAGTTTGAGACTTTTAAGGTGTTGGAAATTCATAGGCTGGAGTCAAAGCCTGAAAGTAGGTCCTTGGCATCAGAAAAGTAAGTACGGGAAAATCTCGTAGCTAGGACTGCCTCACTGTTTATAGGTGCCTTTGTAAGCAGCAGGAGATGTGCGCACTCCATTTTGTGCTGGCTGTTCATCCGTCCACACCAAACCCACCCAGTGTGCAGCTCCCTTTGAAACCATCAGCAAAGCCTCAATGGGACTGGGTGCTGCTGGGTCTCACTGGGTGCATTGGGCAGACCATGCAACGCTTGGGACCATGACATTTTCAACCCCACCTTGGCTTTGCCCACCAGCAGTCATCTGGTAGGTGCCTGCTTTGGTGTGTTACTCCTCTGGAGGCAGAAAGAACCCCTCAGGTTAATGGTCTGCCTAAAAGCTAAAAAGGAAAAAAAGAGGAAGAAATCACTTAAAACATCACATTAAAATGCCATTCCACGTCTGAAAGGATCCATTAAAACTTTTATAAAGCTTTTTATATTTGTTTCTCCTGTTTTACATTTAGTTCTGGATTCAGGCACATCTCTCTTATAATTTTCCTTTGTAATAAACATTTTCGGCTTGGTTGGTTATGCGTTCCTGTGCAGAAGGAGATGTGGGGCTTTTTCCTAGAATAGAGCTTTTCTTTCCGAAACCACTGTCTTCAGGGATCCAGCCTGGCCAGGAGCCGCGGGCTCTCCCTGAGAGGTGTTCCTGCATATCTTTCATGAGAAATTCCTATTTTTGTGAGGGATTCAGAGAAGTGCATCTGGGCTTCACCCTCTGGTTCTCTGCCTGCAGCTCCTTCACCAAAAGCCTCTGTGTCTGTGTGTGTGCAGAGGGAAGCTGCAGCATCATAGAATTGACCCGGTTGGAAAAGACCATCAAGATCCTCAGGTCCAAATGTACCACCAAGACTGCCAAGGCCACCACGAAACCATGTCATTAAGGGCCTTTCTTGTCGGCATGGTTTGTGAACACCTCCAGGGACAGTACTCCACCATGGCCCTGGGCAGCCTGTTCCAATGCCTGAACACCCTGTAGGGAAGACATTGTTCCATCCTTTAACAGATGAGCACAGGCCAAAGACTCCGTCCTGCAAAATTGCTTCTCCCTGCGGCAACCATCCTTGGTCATGACTGCATTTCCGTCTCTCCATTCCACTGGTCCTGGTCCTGCCACTCCATGTGTGTCCCTGCTGAAGCTGCCTGGGTGCAATCCATGCTGCTTTCCCTTTCACCACCTCTTCATGTGCATTCGTGATTTTCATGGCCTTTCTATTGAAAAGAACAAGAATAGTAATTAAAATCTGTTATGAGTGAAGGAAAAGCTTCTAAGGTTCAGCAGGAGCTGAACAGTTGTCTTCCTCCTCCTCTGAGGTGTTGGTGAAAAAACACTGTTTTCACCTTTTTAAGCTTTTTCTTTAGGAAAAAGCTTTAACACATAGGTATCAGAAGAGTGTCAACACAAGCCCTGCTGTCTGCAGTGGAAAGTGGGAGCAGTGAGATGTGTCCTGCACCCTGCCTTCACCTCTAGCAGGGCCTGGGGGAGTGAGAGGTGATCCTCAGCTTCTTCTAAATGAAGTCTCCGTATGGCACACTGTGCATGGGTCAATGGGTGATGCCAACTCTTATGCTGTTATTTCAAAACTAATTTTGTTTAAAATCTCACAATTGGACTAGAGTCAAGTGTCTGATAGGAAAATGCCAGCAGTTTACTTGGTTAGTCACAAGCGACCTAAGGGAGTGTGTTGTGCCACAAATTACTGTTTCCTTGCCTTGCCTTTTCCTCCTTCTTCTGTGTGCATGCCAGATGAAATCCCACTTGGTGCTCACCTGTAGTTCCCAACTATGAGATTAGACACTGTGCTCTTCAGTCCTTCACCTTGTCTCTAGTCCTATGCTCTACCCCTTAAATGGATATGTATTTCTCAAAGTTAAATGCTTGCAACGAAACCTCTGCCTGTGGGTCAGAACAGTGGGTATAGGACAGACATTCAAGATCAATAAGGGTTTAACACTGCTGTCATGGTTTAAGCCCAGCTGGTAACTTAGAACCACGCAGCTGCTCAGTCACTCGCCTCTTCTTCCCTCCCTGGCTCCCGGAGGGATGGGAATGAGAATCGAAAGAATGTAACTCCCACGTGTTCAGATAAGAACAGTCCAGTAACTAAGGTATAACACAAATCACTGCTGCTACCACCAATAATAATAATGATAAGGGAAATAACAAGGGAGGAGAATGCAACCACTCACCACCCGCTAACCGATACCCAGACCAACTAAGCAGTGATCTAGCCCTTCTGGGTAACTGCCCCCAGTTTATATACTGGGCATGACGTGCTGTGGTATGGAATACCTCTTTGCCTAGTTTGGGTCAGGTGTCCTGTCTCTGCTTCCTCCCAGCTTCCCCTCCTCCCTGGCAGCGCATGAGACTCACAAAGTCCTTGGTCAGAGCAAATATCACTTAGCAACAACAAAAAACATTGGTGTTATCAGCTCTACTCCCAGGCTGAAAGTCAAAACCACAGCACTGCACCAGTTACTAAGAAGGAGAAAAATGACTGCTACTGCTGAACCCAGGACCCGCTGACAGTGCTGATCCTTGCACAGCTCCTCTTCCTGCCGCATTGCCTTGCTGCTCTACCCATACCTGAGGCTTTTCTGCCCTTTCTCCAGCTGCTTGGCATCAGCACACCTGAGCCTTGCAAACTGAGGCCTGACTTCAGGAATGCAAATAATGTCCCCTGTGCATCCACAGCATGTCTCTAAACCCCTTTTTATCTTGCTCCTTGCTGCCCTGGAGGATAATTACTACGAAGAGCAGCCCCGTTGCCTGGTATTTCAGTTTATCCCATTACCATTGTGTTTGCCAAGCCAGCCAGCTTTGCCAAAAACAGAATCAAGGTTGCTGGCAGTGCTGGCTGGCTCACACATTCACCCTCTCTGCTGGATGAGATGCTAATTTTTCCTTGATTGCAAACTCTGCATTCACCTTTTGTGAATTAACTGTGCCTACATATTTGGCATAATAGCTTTAAAACCTGGGCCTGAGCTTGCAGGCTCCTCTCCATGGACTGTCAGAGGCAGGGCTAATGGGTGCTGTTAGACTATTTACTTGCCACTTTTTTGGCCAAGGGGAGCAGCTGGCTGGTACCCATGGCTGGCAAGGGGCAGGCAGGAAGGTCACGTCAGAAAGCTGTTTGGCAGGCAGCACACCAAGGGGAGGAGGAGATGGAGGAGGCACAGCAATGTGGATGGATGGATGTGTGGATGTGTGGATGGGCAGGCACAGGGACGTATGAACCATTGTAAAGTTTGTGTGTTGCAGTGGTAGCTAGTCACATGAATAGTGATGGGAGCTGACAGCTTCTGGCTGTAGGGGCTTTCCAGGCTTCTTCCAGGAAGACTAAAACAGCCTCGGGATACCCTTAGGATGGTCTTAATATAATCTGATTTCCCTCTTCTAATCTTGAGTTGATTGCAACAAACTATGTGTAAATATTTTAAGTGTTCAGTGCAAAATGCTGAGCTGGCAGTAACATAGCCACAGCCTGAGCAAGCATTCATGCTCACATTGACTTGCACTTGCACTTCCATCATGGTCAGGATAGGGCACCAAGCTTTGGATTGCTGCTTAAAATTAGTTTAATGGCTGAGAATTATTTTATTGTTGTTAAGATCTCTAAAATCAGACACCCCTCCAAAAACCCCCATGGAAAATTAGCAAATGCTGCATCTGTTAACCCAGATCTGAGCAGCACTTGCAAAGATGGATGACATGGGGTAGATTGCCACTTCCCTGGGTTTTATGTTGGTGTTTAGGATAAACTTGCCGTAAGTGATGCTATGACTGTTGCTAAGCAACAAGTGATGTTTGCTATGGCAAATATTCCCCTCTTAAAGGTACATTTGCAAGGAGTAATCTTTTGTGTGCATGAAATTAATTTGCAGATGTATGGATTTAGATTAGTTAATGGCAATAAACTTTGGAAATGCTTCAGTGTGGTGTTAAAATGGAATACAGTTAAAATGGAATACAATGTGCCAAGAAGATACTGCGTAGCAAAAACATTGAGCCCTCCCCTTTAATTAATTGGACCTTAAAGCAGGGATGTCTTAGCCACAAAAATAAATTAACAGTGAATCAGGTTATAGAATAAATTAACAAATCGGGTTAGTTGGGAAGTTCGAAAGAAGGAGCATCTGTGAGCTGCTTGCATGGCAAATAGAGTTCAAAAGTCTTGAGCTGGAAGGAAGGCTCACACAGGAAAACGTAACTGTGCAGGCACTGATTGGAAGTGGTAGATTTTCAGCCTTTATCATTCAAGATTGGACTTTCCCTAAACATGGGTTAAAAGTCAGGCATGGTGTAATGCCCACCAAAGTCAAAGTGGACACAGGATTAAAAGTCAGGCATGGTGTAATGCCCACCAAAGTCAAAGTGGACACAGGATTAAAAGTCAGGCATGGTGTAATGCCCACCAAAGTCAAAGTGGACACACCAAGAAAAGACTTTGGCTGCTTTGTTTTTCTGCTTTTTGTGACTAGTTGCCATAGATTTGCAGAGGATAATGGTCCTTTCACAGGCCATCACAAACCTCCCTTTTCCTTTTATTTTTTAAGCTTCTTTTACTCCTTTCATTTTTCTCCGCCAGCAAGGACTTTACATTGTCTCCTGTGCCTGCAGAAGATGCTCTTACCCCTCACTTGCTCCCCATCCAATGGCTCTCATCACCCATTAACCTTGGCCAACATGACAGCTGTTGGAGATGCACAGAGCCAACTTCAAGGCCTGGGCAGAGGTGCTGCTGGCTCCCTGTGTCTTCATGCTGCAAAACTTCTCTGTGCACCTTCACTTGCTCTGCTGCCTTGGCAGGGCTGGAAAAACACTCATTTGATGGCAGCAAGAATAAGAGGAGCTGTGGCAAGGTATTTTAACTGTATTACTTTCAGGTGGTTGCTACATCTTTTCTAATTAAAATAACATTGTCCTAGGACTCCTGAAATGAATATTTGGTGTAATAGATTCAGAAAGTGATGAAAATGTTTTCATTAAATAGTGAGAGCGGGAGAGAGACCCTGCGAGGCAAACCATTTTATCTCAACTCTCTAATAACATTAATAAACTCTTTAATCTTTGTCATGTTTATGACTTAATGGCAATCCTTAAAGACATGACAGACAAGTAAGAGCTGCCAGGTTCCTTTAACCTATAAGCATTCGTATTCCTTGCAGGATTTTCATTAAGTGGAAAATCCCTCTGCAATGGGCTTTATTCTGTGTGTAAAACTGTGCTCTGTGGTCCATGGGAGTGGTGGAGAATGCTTGGCCCTGGCCAGGACCCAGTAGTGCCAGGGGATGGTGGTGGCATCTGCCTTTTCCATGGCCAGGAGCCAGGTTGATGCTGGCTTCTTCTCTGCCACCAGCTGGGGATATTTAGTGTAAGCCCTGGTGTGACAAGCCCATGCTGTTTCTGTTCTGCTCAGGTACCCCTGTTGACCCTGCTGATGGGCTTCACTTCATTGGTCACCTGAAGGACTTCATCCCTCCTTTCCATGAAATGGGTACTTAAAGAGATGGGCAGTGAACTTTGTGTTGTGTTTTTCACTTTCTCTGGGCTACACAACACTGAATAATGCCTACCCCTTTATCTCTGCACACATACACATGGGTCCCTGGTGGTCTGTAATTTCAAACAAGTAATATTTGTTAAGAAGCAACATTAAAAGTGTCATTTGTTTGCACGGTCAAGCACTCCAGTTGTGGCTGCCAGAATGAGAGTTGCCAAGCCCAAACTTCACTCTGCCCCTGTACATCATTGTCCTGTGGTCCAAAAGAAGCAGGTGTCTAGGGGAAATATAGTATGTGATCATGTAATTAGGGGGCTGCACAACAAGAGAAGCACAGCTAGGAACTAACCCCAGCCTTTGTGTTTCTTTTCTTCTTATTTTTATCCAGACTCCCAGCAATCTGGCATTTTCTAATCTTTGAGTCCCTGACTATAAAACCTAATTAATGCTCTTTTAATGCAAGGTTTTTGCACTTAATCTCCTAGGGCTTTTTTAATGTTTTAATGTTCCATGGCAAGGGCAGCCTTTTTTCCTCTATTGCCAGGGTTTGGACCCAGAATATCCATTACTGCACCTGCCATTCTGATGTTCCTCAGCTGGAAGCAGAAGGATGCTCCACTGATGGGGTGAGTCCAGAAAAGGGTTGTCAGTGGCAGCTTGACCTTTTTGGTCCCTGTGGTGCCTTGGGAGGGCCAGGGCAGCTGCATCCTTTCACTGCCTGACTTAGGGACATAGGAGCATCTCTTGTGCCCAAAAAGGAAGAACTCCACATGGTGCAGATGGCATTTCATACAGATTTGGTTGGGTGTTATCTGCTGTGAACATAAATACCAGCTCAGTAGTTTCACTCTTATAAATGATAAGCTGAAACCTCTTTTGGTTGTTTCTCAGTCAAATGCCAGTAATAAAATGAAAAATCACCATCAACCCCCACCCCCTTTATTTGCATAGTTTTGATGCTGTCAAAAAAACAGACAACACTCATGTAGCATAAGGAGAATTTTTAAATAGAAGCATTACATTTTAAAACCCTAATAAAGATAAAAGCAAAATAAAGAGCAAAATTTGAATTTAGAGAATGGGAGAAGAAAGATTAGTCTGTGCTGATGAAGTAATGAAGGTAGTGTCTGGTAACAATTTTTAATAGCACATTAATGCTGAATTACTTTGGAATTTCTTCAGGAGTCGAGATGACATCCACATAAACACCAAATGAATTCCAAATGATTGGTATTATCATAAAGAGCACTAAATGAATTAATAATGACGGAACACTTAAACTAAAACGTTATCTTCTCTAATCTGTTGTCTCTTTTATGCACTGCTCAATTCATTTTTAGCCAACTATGACCCTTTCTTTCGTTTGTCTTTTAATTTAAGATATATATATATTTATTTTTGCACAAATGTTCTGCTCCTGTACTGCATGAAGCAGGACGTGGACTAGTCCATCTTCATAACAGTTTTGTGTTGGCATCACAAAATGTAAGAGATAGATGGGAAGACATCTGGACGTGAGACATATCGCTGGGAAAATGACTATGACTAATAAGAACCATAATAATAACAATTCTGCCTTGATGGTCCCACATGTGCAGAGACCTCAGGGCACCCTTAACAGCACTTAATAGACTAAATGGCTCACTTTACAGCAACGCAATATGTCTCCCCTTCCCATGGAGAAGCCCGACAGGAGAGGAAGTCTGAACTCGCAGTCTGTGTAACTCAGATCAGTAAATAGGAGCCTGGGGCTTGTTTCAGGTGCTGGGCAGTGCTGCTCCAGGGGTGCCAGGGAGGAGCTGAGCCCCAGTGCTTCAGCTACATGCACGAGGGCTCTTTGCAGACCCACATAACTGCCAGATGTGGGCTTCCTGGGGTGATGGGTAAAGCACAGACTGTGGAGGGGACACCAGCAGCAGCATCACCTTCCCATGGGCAGTGGTGCCCTGGGTCACGCTGGTCCCTTCCTTGGGTGTGCTCGTGACATATTAGCAGTCAAATGACATTTAGGGAGCGTAAGTCCCACTCTCTTCTGCAGGCCAAGTAAATATCATTAGTAATGATATTACATCTCAAATTGTGCTCCTGCACTATGGCAACCATTCAGCAAGCATTTGCTGTTGTTGCTTGTTTCTAACAATTACTTTCACAGACTTTGTTTCTTAGAAAACTATTACTGACTGTAATCCTCTATGTGGCATGCCATGAAAATAAAAAATAATGAAAGAAAAAGAAAAAGCCCAGCTTTCAGAGAGGCTGCAGAGCTGCCAAGAGGCTGGCGTGGCAGGCTTTATTTTTGTTAGGAAGATGGTGATGCTGGGTGCTACACTGGGGAGCTGGGCAACGCAATGCTTTCCTGGCCAGTTAGCCTGGAAGCTCTAAAGCAAAGCAGGGCATGCTCCAAGGCAATCAGCTTGCCTTCCTGTATAGTGTTTATCACCCATATCTATATATCTATATCTAAATCTAATCTATATCTATATCTAAATCCGTAACTATATCTAATATTACCTACATCTATATTCATATTTATATCTATATCTATATCTAATCTATATCATCTCTCTATCTCTTTATATCTCTATGGATAGATACAGATATATACACTGACATATATACTTGTATTTTATATATGTGTATTATATGCACGTGTGAATAGACATGTACATATGTGTGTATATATGAGTGTGCATATATAATACATATGTATATACAAATATATATGTGTGTGTATAGACCCCCACAACCTCTTAGCTGTTAGCTGTTCTGTCTGCAGCAGTGTTTGCTGGGCTGCCGCAGGCTGACGGTGGCAGGCTGCTGGCCCATCGCACACGCTGCGCTTCTGTGACAGAAGCAACATATAATTATATCACAAATTAACTTGCAAATGCTGGTAGAAATGTACTCCACAGGAAAAAAAAGAAACTGATTTCATCTTCTCTTGTGTCTTGTAGCTGGTCCCTCCAGCACAGTCTGCATCTGCCAGAATCCCTGCCCTGGGAGCACTAATCATTTTTATTAACCATTAAACAAGAAGATCCTTTTTATTTGAAAATGTAAAACATGCAGGAAGCACTATCTATAGCTGCTAATTCAGGTCACACTAAATGGATCTTTCTTACCTCTCGGCTCGTCCCTGTTCTGCTGAAAGCTCCTTGCTGTAAAACCCACCGCTGCCCCTCTTTCCTGACGGTGCTGATTGTCTGTTGCGTGCATTTGCACTGAGAGGCTGGATTTCATCCTGAATAATGACACTTCATTTCCAAGTGACCTGATGTAAAGCAAGCTGCTTTTAAAGCTTCTCCCATGGCAAGTTTATGAGTTGCTACTGCATTTTCTTAACACTTTTCACCTTCCAATTGTTTTTATTTCACTTTGGGAAGGTGACATTAGAAGGTGCTGGGACCCCCAGAAAGCGACCTGGAGGATGGCAGTGGCTGGGGGCACATCTGCATCTGTGAGGCTTGGTCACTGGTGGGTTGAAAACACACTCCTGTCCCCCGTGTCTTTGGTGAGGAACAGCCACAGAGGATAATGGCTCCCACAGCCCAGGAAAACTCAAATGGGAGCAGGACTGAAATCAAGGCTTTTACCTGGGGTCTGCCTTTCCTAAGCTGAGGAAAACAGGCCTCACATTTTATTTACAAAGCCACAGCTGATGCCACCTAGTTAGCATTATAGAGCAGATTCCTCACATGATTTTTTATTGTGCAGCTTGGCGGCTGCTTTGAGAGACTGCAGAATATTTTACTGCTTTGTGGCTCACATTCAATACGGCAGAAAAAAAAAGGAAAAGTTGAGAAAAATCCAAAAAATCATGCTTTTTTTTTTTTTTAAGTGCATTTTTGTTTTTAGCATCCCTCCTGCTGTGACAAAACTGTTAATTAAAATGAAACGAAAAAATAAACTCTAAGCCCACCTCATATGAAAAGCATTTGAAGGCAAAGTATCAGCCTCAAGGCTGGTTGGGGTAGAAGCTGGCTGTGCCTGCCCCTCCTATTCCCCCTGCCCTTCCTGTCCACAGGTGCTGGCAGAAGCTCTTTTGATGTGTGCACTGTCATGTGTGTGGGGGGCAAGTAATGAGACTTTTGGCTCCTGCGTCGAACAGAGCACAATGTAATTGGCTCAGTCAGCCACGTTGTGGTCTGTCCAGACCAGAACTGTAGATCAAGTATTATTGTGATTAATAAAATGGCTCTAAAGACCTCATCGTAATGGCCCAGCATATCTCGATCATGTCAACCTAAAGTCCAATTGAGGTTACTCATCATTCAGGAGAGAAAAACCCACCAGCACTGCCAGACATGGGCATTCCTTCCTCCAGCTTGTCATGCAAACCCATGGGGGCTGACGTCTGTAAATAGACAGCCCCCTATGAATAAAAGGAAGGGTAGGTCTGGCCATGCCTACTTTGATGTGTGGTAATGAACTTTGCTTTTAATTCTGAGTTGTAACTTCCACCCTGATGCAAAAGTGGGAGCTGTGGAAAAGCTGCATGCATAATGAGGGGTGAAAGCAAGGATGTGGTGCGAGATGTGTCTGATGTTGGAAGAGAAGGAAAATAGCCTTTAATCATTTTGTTTTCAAAGAAGCTTTAGAGAGCCCTTTGAAGATGAGGCTTTTTGAGAGCTGCTTCTGGAAAAATAGGAGGCAGCGATACACGGCACCCACCTTCTGCCTACATCCACCTGCCCTTCGGTTAACCTGTGCATGGGGCATTCATATAGATGTAGTCATTCCTGCCTTCAGCTTGTGGCCCTCCAGACTGGCACCCAGTAAAGCTGAGCTGATCTAGTGCTGCCCAGGGAGGTGAGACCCTGAAGGCTACAGCTACAGGGAAAAACTACCCCAGTGTCATTTCACTTGAGGCAATCACAGTGCTTAGTGTGCAGAGGCAGGTAATCTAAAGGCAGCAGCAGCGAGAATAGGATATCCAGCCTCCTTTTATTAATTATAATATTTTTGTAATGATAACGTTCTGTAAATCATGCCTTACTCTCACTGGGTGAAAGTGAATGATAATGACCATCTGATTAGACTTTATTTTAAGGTAAAGCCTCATGATGGAGAGGCGTGGAAGCTCTGCCTGTCTTGTAATGCAGCACTAAGGGATGGAGAAGGTGAGAGCTGTGTGTCACCCACCTGCTGCAGTTTGTATGAGCTGTAAAGGCAATTTACTTATGGGCTGGCATCCAGCACAGCACCCTTGTTTGCCTACATCTAAAGACACCAAGGAGTTGAACATCATCTGAACATCCCAGGCTGGGGAAAGTGGGTGGGCTCTGCTCGCCAGCGCTCAGTGCATACCAATAGCACCCCTGCTTTGTTTTGAGGATTGAGGTCAGGATGCTGTTGTGTTAAATGCATCACAATCAAAACAATCACGTCTTCTTGCTCCAAAAACGTTACAGGCTGACAAGAAAAGCCTTAGGGAATGGGTGTGCCAGCAGTTCTATTTTTACCTGTTTTTACCAAGTGGTTTGGCCTCAGCATAATAACAGCCAGGCCAGTAAGTGACTGCAGGCTGGCATGGTGCTGAAGCTGAGGGTGGCATTACTGGTGTTGTCAGTGGCTTTGTACATCTAGATCTTCTCTCATGTGGTCTGTAAAGTGAGTGTGTGGTGGCATTTGAGGTTATTTACAGATGCCACAGTGGAATGAGAGAAAAAGCCTATTGAACAGCCAAAAATAAATGAATTACTGCATCCTCCAGGTAAGGAACAAGCCCACTCCCACTGGCATTGCAAGGGGCCTGGTGTCAGATAATACTGGGAAGTGGAGAAACGGCAATGCATCAGCACCCCTCCATGTGATTCCAGGTGGAGAAGCTGGGCTTTGTCTCTGTGCATGACACTGTCCCAGTTAACCACAGCTTCATGCGGTCGGGTCCTTATGTCCCCAGCCCACCCCTCTGCATTCTGTGAAGTTCAACCGCGCAAAGGCATTCCACATCCTGAGTTCTGGCCAGCAGATAGCTCTAACAAATGCACTTTGCAGTCCCTTCTGGAAAGGAAAAAAAAATCCCAAATCCATGTCTCCAAATCTGCTGCCTTGTTGCTGCTGCAAAGGTTTTCTCTAGAAATCTCCATTCCTGTACATACAACCCCAAGACACTGTTATTGTCAGACTGCGTGCCCATATCAGCATGTTGAAGGTTAAGTTTGAAAAGCCCAATGAGGCCTCCTGTTCACTGGGAGCTGCCCTCGGTGCATTAGAACTGAAATCACTTTCCCCTCTCTGCCCTCTGGTCTGCAGCAGGTACTTAAAAACTGGCCTTGTTTTCAGAGGTGTGAAGGCTTTGTGACAGATACTGCAGCTGGGGATGAGGCTAATAACAACTCACAAACACAGGCTGTTTAGGGATTAAATGTGGCATTGCAAGGTAAAAGCACACCAGATAACTTTGGGAAGTTTAGAGATAGTGTGTCGTACTTCTATTTTCACTTCTAAGCAATGTTATGCTATTTTAGGCCAGGCCTTTTTCTAATTAGGTTTACTGCTATCAGTACACGGCAGTGTGTATGTGTTAACATTTGATTTTTGTATCTAATGTAAGTGGCTGAGATAAACAACCCAGATCTGATAGTCCCAGTGGGGGACTGACATTTGGATTCAGCTCAAAATCTGTGGTTTTGATGCTTGTTAGACT